GTTTCCTTCATTTACAGTACAATCTTAGCCCACATCTTTTCAGTCTTCCTTTTTTCCTCCGCGAGTCTCATGTCTTCACTTCAGCCCTTCCTTTCTTTCACTGTACGATGTGTTGTGTGACAGCAGTCCATTTTGAATCATATTTTACCTGTTTTAAACGCTAACAAATGTTTTAATCTGTTTCATAATCGCATATATCTATTTCAGTGTTTTCTCGCTGCTTTGAAAGTCTCTGGCTAACCTTGGATGATGTGGATTATACAGTTAAAAACAGTTTGTACTTATGTCCAAGTGTTATCTAATAAATTTGAAAAGCTATGCAAGTTTCTAGCTCCCAGAGGCAGTGGAAGACAGGAGGGCCTGGTGTGCTCTGGTCCATGGGGGTCACGAAGAGTCGGACACGACTAAACAACTAAATGACTAAACAACAACAACAACCTTTTCAGACTTAGAAAAAAAAACCCAACCAGTCTGTTTCAGCTTCCCATGGCCCTAAACTGTTTTAAACTTGCTTTAAACAAATAAATATGACCTATATATCTAACCATGGTTATCAGTACTCTTGTTTCTTCCGCCCCACTCCCAGCTCTGTAATATTGTACCCAGTCTGAAGAAGACTTTTGTAGAGTTGAAAGCTCCTGCCAGTGGTATTTAAGTAGCCTAATAAAGGTTTTCGGTCATCATTGTCTTCAAATTGTATACAAGGACCTCATGGCTTTTTGCTTTTTTGAAGAAGGGAAAATTGATTTAAGGAGGAAGTAGCCTAGAGGCAACCATTTACAAGTGGTCATTTGTAGAAAACCAAGAGAGGCCACAATGCCTGAAACCCACTTACCTCTCTTATTTGTCTATGAATTCCACACTCATTACTTTAAGCATAACATTTTTTGCAACCCTGCTATCTTGGTGATGAATGAGGGATGTGCCAAAATAAAGCACTGGGGGTTTACCTGCAGATAACTGGATTTTTTCCCTCTCTTCTTCTTAGCTCTTATTATAATTTATGATTACTCTCTATTTCTAGAATTGCATTTTGGAATTGTATTCAGGATCACATAGGGCAAGCCAAAAGTTACAAATAAGAGTGGGAAGGGACATCCAGATACAGGTAATTGACAGTCTTGGTCCCTGTCGTTTTTTAAAGGTGAATTGCTCATAACTCCTTACCTCATTAGGTGTCTCCCTCTTGATCAGCCCTTCCCAAGCAATGTCTCTCCCACTATTTTTCACTGCTGCTCCCATCAGCCCCAGCTAGCATAACAAGTCATCAAAGATTGTAGGGAAGATGTATTTGGAACACCTGGAAGTATCTTAGCCCTCTGGATAGCTCAGTGATTTAGGTATCTGTCTGTGGCACCTGGTTGGGAAAGATCCTATAAATCAGGATTGACATGTGCAGATGTGTGCACACACTCAAGTTGGGGAACATTCTAAATTTTCCTAGAATCTTCCATTACATTGGTGGTGGCACTATGTATTTTTTTTGGGGGGGGGGACAGCACAAGCATACCCACACAATTGGTGACAGAATTTCCTCACCATGCATTGAAACAATCAATTCCTATTCAATACATGGAAGTTAGATAGTATGATTCCACTTGGCATACCATTCTGCAGCTGGCATGTGTACACACACACACACAAACACACTTATTAAGCAAAACATGCCTACTCTGCGGAATGTACATGTGGAGGCAAATGTGTATCTGATTTTTATACATCATCCTAATTTATGAGCTTGTGAAATAGATTTGTATCTCACTTGCTGGCAGGCCATATCACACATTTATGAAGTCTTTCTCTTGGTAGTATATATGCCAAAATATTCCTTAATCAGATTTTTTTTAAAAAAGCAATCTTGTTGCCAAGAAATACAAAGTGCTTTAAAGTTTAGGTTGAGCATACTTACAGTTGGGTAAACTGTGGGGGGGAACCCCCCAAACACATATTCTACAATTAGAGTACCCCAACCTGCAGAAAGCAGATGCTGAATCCAAATCATTCTTATTTTAACAAATAAATATTACATCTAAAGCAGAGGCATTTTACTTTGCAACAAGAAGACAAAATATGAATAACTTACTATCAGAGGACATCAGTTCACCAATGATATCATGTTAATTATGCCTGTGATTATATATTTGCATATTTAGAGAGATTGTGTTAGCTTGCAAATGAGAGGGAGTTACATGGCTCTCACACAGGTAACTGACTCTTGCAGTCCTGTAAATATTTGTATTGTTTTATTTGTTATATTTGTGTTACTGGTTATTGTTTTACTGTTAGATTCTTTGGTCATTAACCAGCCAGAACAGTGCTTTGCACTAATGGGGCAGTAAAAATATAATAATAATAAATGAACTAATCAATCAATAAATAAAGCAATTATTATCTTTAAAAAAATTCATACTACCCTTTATGCATCGTTTTAAAAAGGAAAGAATTACGACCACTAAAATCTTTGAAATATTATGCAACTTTCCAAAGCCTGTATAATAAGGCTTTGTTGGCCCCTTCAGTAATTGGATGTAGATGGAATAGCAGTAGCGGATTTCCATGTATTGAATGGAAGCTGTTTACACACTTGCAGTTGTACCTACACAGTTTCTTCCATGACCTCAGGAGCCCCGTAAAAGCGGGCTCTCTGCCTACACAGATCTTAGATTCAGCTAAAGATTCTGTATGTAGGATTCTACTGAGATCCTCTGCTGATAGCATACAGGTCAAGGAGTAAGGACGGCAAGTACGACCCTGACTACCTCTGTGCCCATTCATTCCAACTTGATTTTGACCGTTTGAACATGGCTCAGTCTGTGTGTATGTGAGGGCCCACACACATACTCAACCCAGTAAAGTTTATATCATCGATTTGCAACCGTGGTTCATGTTACTCCTGAGTCTTGGGCTAGGACTAATTTAATCCTATTTTCATGTCATTTAATTGAGAGTATGGCCAATGAATGTAGTCATTTCCTATACACTACCTAGTTTTAATGCAGAGGCCTAAAAGTTATTAGTCATTTTATTTATTTAAAGAAAAGGGAAGATCTCTTTACATTTAAGGGGCAGAAAATAGTTCTACAACTCTCTTGTGAGTTCAGTACACATGTCTTGTCAAATGTATAGATTCTGAGTTTCAGTCAGTTATAAATACTGTAATGAAATCATTCCATATCACCTCTTTTCACTGGCTGACAAAGTGATTTTTAAAAGAATAAATAATGTTGCTAGAAAAAGTCCAAATTAAATATATAAATAGAACAAGGTAATCAATAATACTTACTATAAAGACATAAAAATGATTCGCTAGAGACTGGAGTGTGAAACAGTTTTACTCAGCACAGAATAACTATTACAATTAACCGTTAAAAAACTTATTTCTCAAGTTTCATTTTTCTCTTTATTTCCCCAGAATGACTTTGTTCCATGCACCCAATCATGGAATAAATTGGTTCCTGTCAACATCATATAGTCACTAGATACACCTTGTTACATTTGAGCACCTTAATATTGTTATAGAAGACAAGAGATTATTCAGGTCTACTGCTGATGCTGCAACAATAATGGGACAGAATAATCCCCAAGGAATTGTATGTGTGTGTTTTTTGGAAAACATACAAAATGGCATTGATCATAGCATAAATATGTATAAAGAATTACCACTTCCTAATAGTCTCATAGCTTTGGCCTGTTTTCAACTTAACCAAACTCAGCCAATTCACAAGCTAATTAAACCATAGCTCAGTGGCTCCCAACCTTGGATAATCCAGGTGTTCTTGGACTGCAGCTCTCAGAAGCCCCAGCCAATATTGCTGGCAGTGAAGGCTTCTGGGAACTGCAGTCCAAGGACACCTGGGTTACCAAAGGTTGAGAACCACTGCCATACTATATCACTTAAGTTTGTCTAATTTCATTTGAGTGAGCCTTTTAAAGGGTGCACATTGATAGGTCACCACTATTGTAAACATGAGGGTGAAAACAAACATAAACAGACCAAAGCAGTTTGAGGGCTCACTCCAGGGCCGGACTGGCCATCTGGCAGTTCTGGCAAATGCCAGAACGGCCGATGGTCAGAACAGCCGGTTCCTGCCTCGCGGCCTCCCTGCCGCTGCTCTTCTGCCGCCGCCACCACCACCGCCGGGCGCCCGGCTTCCTCC